AGTTAAGTAACAATTTTGTAAGGACACTGACAATATGAAAAATTCTTTTGAGAGAAACAAGATTAAGTGGTTTTCAAAGGCTTTTAAAAAAATATTTCTTTTAGATCCTAGTACTACAGAATGCTAATGTGTTTTAACAAAAACTTTCTTACAAGAGTTTACACCATATTATACCTGTAGTCACACCAAATACCAAAAATAAACCTGGGCCCAATAAACAAAGATGCTATGCAGAGAAAGGTCACATAAAGAAATAGTCTTTATTTCAGTATACAATCATTCCCATTATAGCAGTTAACAAGAGATACACATAACAGATAGATATAGATTCATTTGTTCAAGGCTCTCTGCTTATAGCGTAAGCTCTATGCTTACAGAGTAGTTAAAATGATTCTGCATATTAAAGAGGATGAACTTTCAAAAAACTTTGGAATTAATGGACGTTTTAGTTCATTTAATTTTTTTATTTTCAAAATGAACGTTTTAAGTGGACAATTTAAGAATACTAGTCTAAAAATTTTAAATAATAAGACTATTTAAATTTAGGCAATTATTAAGAAGTTAGAAAAGCTATATAATAATGAACAAAAATATAATCTATATACTCCAAATATAATGGATATTCAATGTGTTTCTAATGAAAAATATCTGTATTTTTAATTCAAAATGTTTTCAGGCCAGGCGCAGTGGCTCACGCCTGTAATCCTAGCACTCTGGGAGGCCGAGGCGGGCAGATTGTTTGAGCTCAGGAGTTCGAGACCAGCCTGAGCAAGAGCGAGACCCCATCTCTACTAAAAAGGAAAAATAGAAAGAAATTATCTGGACAACTAAAAATATATAGAAAAAATTAGTCGGGCATGGTGGTGCATGCCTGTAGTCCCAGCTACTCGGGAGGCTGAGGCAGTAGGATCACTTGAGCCCAGGAGTTTGAGGTTGTTGTGAGCTAGGCTGATGCCACAGCACTCACTCTAGCCAGGGCAACAGAGTGAGACTCTGTCTCAAAAAAAAAAAAAATGTTTTCAAACTAGAGAAAATGAAGTTTCAAAATAACTGTTTCAAAAATACAATTTAGAACATGCACATATTTTGAAGATTTACCTGAAAATGTTCAAGTATGTCCGGTTCTGGCTATGAATTTTTTAAAAGCAACAAATAAAATTTCTAGATTTCCTTTAAAAACTAAGTTCTAAATTATGCCTACTACACATGTAGAATGAAAAGTCCTAAAACAGCTGTTTCACCTCAGGAAACAATAGCAGAAAATCAAATTGTTGCATTAAAATATTTTAAACCCTAATTAATATCCTAACTGATTCTAGTCCAGAATATTTTAAAGAATGGGAAACAGTTTTTAATTTCCTTCAAAAAGAAAAATATAATATCAAAACCTTCAATATCTGGCAAAAGTTAAGCTCTAAAATCTAACAAAGCATAGAGGCTGGTCGAGATTGTGTTCCAAAGATTGACTTCCATATACTTATTTAAAACTAAGGGTAAAAATAGTTTCCAAAAACCTTTAGCTTCACAGCCTCACAAACACACAAAAAAAATCTTTTTAACTTAAAGAATTAGCAAACCTAAACGTCAAGAACAGACCTATAGGATGCCAGGAAATATATCTCCACTGCATGTAATGGGAGTGGAGTCTTCCATCTGCAAACCACTGGAGGAAATTACTATAGCCCAAAACAGATGGCAGCAAAGAATGGAGAACAAGTAAGGTGGTACTGCCTTATAAGGTAAAGCTACTAAAAATTATCAGTCACTTTTTTTAAGGACGCAGGGACTAATCTGCCTGCTTTACTCTCTGATGCTTCTTCTTTCTGAATAGGACTTTTTCCTTTACTCCAGCCTATAGTGAAGCCTGAAATTATAAAATTTAATCATAGCTTTTAAATATCAAGATTATTATACTTTCCCATACTTTCTATATTTTCTTTTATTTTAAATTTTTTTTAGGAGAGGGGTCTCACTATGTTGCCTAGGCTGGAGTATAGTGGCTATTCACACTGCAGCTTTGAACTCCTGGGCTCAAGCAATCCTCCCACCTCACCCTCCCCAGTAGCTGGGAGCACAGGCCATCCCCAGCATTTCCACATTTTCTATGAAGAACAGTAGGGCT